ATTTGTGTTCCATATAGAAAACACATGCAAGAGAGTGACTGTGGGCTTTTGTGCATAATTACGCTGTTTACCATAGAAGTGTTTAAAAAGTGAAAGGCTGCCAAACACCATAAATGCTGTGTTAAAAACTTCTCAGACAGTACTGCGCACGACATTTAAAATTTAGGGTAACACTAATTAACAGATGTCTGGGGAAATTTCACTGGAATTACAAAAAACTTCAACTTTAAAAGTGAAATGCTGCCTAACTTCAGATGATATTTTCACATCAGGTTTTAGCACAGACATATACATGCATATTCTTGCGCAGGAAACAATGCAAAATGTACGGGTAAACAATGGGCAAAGCGATGGATGGCAGTGCGTTCAGTGCGCATTACGTGCGATGCACTTTATATTGCTTGGGTTGTTTACATGTGCTCTCAAGACATGTTCACTTTGGTACTCTTTGAAACTGATGTCTCCTCTTTTCAAATGTTGCAAAGCATCGTTCAGAATCTGCATGGGCCAGATTAAATTAATAAAATCGGCTTCATGGAATGTTGTGGTTGGAATTTTTCGACTGTGTTAAAATTCCCTACATCGAGGGGTGAATTTGCCCATAGTTTTGATTTTAGACGGGTGCAAAACAGATCAGAAAATCTTCCTGTAGTTTTGAATAGGATCTGGTGGTCTATGTATTTTTTGTCTGTGAGTTTTAGCACATTTTTAGTAATTCCCATTACCTGGTGTCTGTGAGACAGCACCCGTTGTGGTTGGTTGCTGTGATGTACTGGGTTGATTCTCTGGCATGTCAACTGATGTTTGACCAGGCTGGAGTGATGTATGTGCACCACCTTTAATCCAAATCAAATAATTCAAGAAGACAGAGACTATGAATTTTTTTATTTCATTGCATTGAGACTCACAGGACACATTCTATAAATACACGTTAGCTTTAGGGTCAAATTTCATGGTGTTGCTAAGCACAAGATTTTACGCTTAGCAAGTCTCTGAACGTTTCATGGAGACTGTTAGAAATAAGCAAAGAAAAAGGTACACTTCAAGTAGCTTAAAGGAAAAAATTTCTGAGCTTGGTGACATAATAATGGAAATCTCAATGCACACACTTGCAATTTTAGTGCCAAGCACAGGGACCATGAAATGTGTGCTGTCAAATAGAGCCTTAATGTATACAGCAACCTTCTGGAGCCCAGGAGTGGTCCACCTATGGGGATTTCACATGGGGCCAACCTGCCACATTTGATAAGTTGGGAAGAAATTATTCTTAACTGATGAAACCATCTTCAGAAATACTGATTGTGTTGTGATCTTAAAGTAAGATTTTGGTTAGCATGTACACAAGATGTGCGCATATTTCTTTAGGGATTGTTTCATCATGATTTTGAATGATTGGAAACTCGGAATGCCCTGCTCATTTTCCAGAATCATGGATGACTGGAAGGCTGCCACAGCATTGGCTATGCATAAAGTAAACCATTCCCGCTGATGTGTGGACATTCCTACTGGAACACTAGCGTTCCAGGGGGAACTAATCCAATGGAGGGCAAACAACACACTTACCTACAGTCTATTACTGCAGGCAACTGACAAAGTCGGTATTTGTTACCAGCAACAAAGCCGACGGTCGATAAAATACTCATATTGCAAATGTGTTGATGAGTGTTATGCCGAAATTAAATGTTTTTTTTGTGGGAAAACAACACCTAAAACACACTCTGCTTTGGGAGGATGCCATATTTGTTGATGTTTGATACCTGCTCTGGATCATCTGACTCTCAGTGAGCCCAATCAGTCCATTAAGTCCTTAACTCCTTTCTGTGTCTAACTGATGTGGTTTTCAGAAGAGTATATAAAAATGATATTAAGTTGAAATTTTTCTTTTAAGACTTCAGGTTTTCTTCAACTGTTTGCTATTTTAATTTCAACCAGATATTTTCAACCAAAGTTAATTTTTTCACTTTCCACGGTCGTTTTCTTTTTGCTATTCCAGCTTGCCTATATATTAAACTCCAGTACTTGACAATACATGAGCATATGAATCTACATTTCTTCCAAGTTGGATTTTCACTCCACATTCCAATTTCTTGCATTTTACATCAAAGTTTAACTTTTTTTCTCATCTTGGTCCACTTCTCAAGTTCATGCAGAAATGCAGAAATTAAAAAAAAAATTGTGTAATGCCCATGGCAGACACAGGATGGATACCTTTTGATGGATAGATATTGAAGGTGCAATCTGTTGGGTTGTTGATGGGTGTGTTTCCAGAGCCTGGCACATGTTGCTCTGTCTGTGGCAGCTGTTGGAAGTCTGATGTAGGTACCGGAAATGGAAGAACAAAAAGGGTCAAGGAAGGATTGTGAACCAAAGGAAGGATTGTGAACCAAACTTGTGGGGTGGAAGGGAGCAGCCACAATGGTTTTCTTTAATTCCGAGGATTAGAAATTTCTAAAACCTTTCATATTGTGTTTGAGCGGTGAGGCTGAATAGGCCCACCACAAGGCTCTACAATGGATCTGTGCTAGCACCCCCATGGCCATCCGGCACTGATGCTACACCGCACCTCCGTTAGTATAAAAAACAATAGATTAGAATTTTAAATGAACTGAGGGCTCATTTAAATACCGTTTAATCTATTGTGTAGCAATGCCTGACCTCAGGAAGGAGTGCGGCAAGTAGTTAGAGTCAACAACGCCCTCTTACTATCCCCCTCCCTGATAAGGAGGGGCACTAGGCTGGTAAATTGAAAGACACACTTAAACAGGATGTCTTTTGAAACAGTTAACAGGGTGTGGGTGCTTGGTCTTTGATTGGCTAGGTTGGAGTTGAGTTGGTAAGATGGAAGAATAACGCCAATAGCTATAAGACGCTAATATGCAAAACCATAGACACAGGGAAGTGAGAAATAGAAGACAAAAGATTGAAGATATGGAACTGGGTGAGACAAAATTAATGAAATCCTATGGATAAATGCACATTGAAAAGGAACATGTCATTAAGTGTCATCTTCACGTCTATTCTGACTAAGTTCAAGGATATGCGCCAAACCTCCTAAATCCATCAAAATCCTTCGGGCGAATTTGGAGGATTGAGGGTGAATGGCAAAAGTGCATGGCTGATTGCAAAGGATGCCATGAGTGAAGGTCATGGGTTGGATCTTGTACTGTTTTTGCTTCGTTATTTTGGCTTTTGTTTTACATCAACCACACTGCTCAAGAATGCCATTGGCGCTGGCTCAACATAATGAAAAAAACTGTCAGAGCGATTTTGAAGGATTGAGGCAGTTGGCACTCCTCCAAGTAACATTTTCAAGAAAATGTGGAGGAACTGGATTGAGGCTGAATGTATTTTTTTGCATGTTGAAAATCAGAAGATTTTGAAGGATTGAGGATGGTTCCTAGTAAAAAGGTCAAGGGAATTATGGTTTAGTTCTTACCTGTTTGTGAACAATACTTTTTCCAACACTTTCGAAGTACCGCTGATGAAAAAAGCAGTAAATCCAGGACAGTCATTATTACATAATATATTAATGCGGCATGTAAATGCAAGACCGTTATTGAAGAATGCAATGATTAAAAAAAACTCGATACAAACAGGACAGAGTTCTACCCCAAGCCACAGTACTTACACGCATACCATAGAATGTGCATAAGTTGAAATCCAAGTCTGAGAGACCTTTTCATGGTTGGCAATTTACACTCAGCACATTTGGCTTTTGAATGTAGGATTGTAGGACAGCACAAGAAATATTTGAAGCAGCATACCTACTGGTACATCCAAACACTTTAACTGTCACAGTGCACAAACCCATAACGAACAACTACACGCATTGTGTAAGGCCAGTTATACGTACGCAAACAGAAGACTAAAGTAAAGACTGCTCCTGCATTTTTTTTTTCTGGTTGCCAATGTACGTACTTCCGTCACGGCACATCGAAAAATATATGGTTTGGAAAGCTTTAGGGTGCTCATACCAAAGTCCAAACTCTGAGGAATACGCCAGTGTAAGTAAAATTGTTGAGTCATTCTCGTTTCGGAAGATATTTGGATTCAGGGTTTGTGACAATCCTGCTGTTTGGATTTCAGGCATTTAAGACTTGCCTTGAAGTAGGGCTGTGATGGCGACAGATAAGAGACAGATTGTAAAAGAGAGCCACCACGGCCCTATTTGTGGAGCTAGGTATTTCACTTACCACCTATACATGTAATTATAAAGATACCAACAGGGACCAAAATTCCTATCAGCCACTTCTCGTCTGAACGCAATCCCAATCCTGCTGAGGTAGGGGCCAGTGCTGTGGTAGATGCTGGTAAATGTTGCGCAGAGGTTATGTTTACCATGGCTGACATCACACCAGCAGTTTGTCAAACTGTAGGGAAAACTATGGTTTCAGTAACATGTACACTATGTACATTCTTCAAACAAGAAATGTGGGATGAGTAAGATTTGAAGCTTTTTCTGGTAGAAGTAGAAGGTAGAAGATAGGCCTACTAGTAGGCTTGCAGGTACATGTACATGTACACCATGGAATTGGTCTCTTTTGATTCCAAATAAAGAGACTGATTCTATGGTGTACATATGTACATATTTGTAGCCTACCTCAAGTGCTTAAAGTTTCACAGAGTTGTTTGTGGACCAGGTAGAGAGGTTGTGCACCAAACAGGAATGTATCTGCACCACAAGATGTTAGCCGCTGTCAACTGCATTTAAGTACACAGGAACAAAAAAATTAAATCAATTAACTACCATTGCGTTAACATTCCACAGACTGAACCACTCGTGTGTTAAACCAAAACCATTACAACTCTGCAGTTGACTGGACACTCCACCTC